CATCTAACTGCAGTGAACTCTGCAAAAAAACAAAACGCAGATTTCCCCAAATCTGTGGAGACTGAAGGGATCTCTAGTGTTATCCATTCCTGAGAACGGGTTTGGTAACTTATGATTCTTAACTTAATTAATGAAGTTACATATGGAGGGAGTTTCTGTAAGATTGCTTTGTAAATAAATAAAAGAGAATGAGGCTCTCTTCTTACAGACAGAGAGGTCCATCCCACATTTTTATACTGACTACAATGAGTCCTAAAATTGTCCCCTGTGATAAAACATATTGCGAAATGGTAGACTGCGTCCAAGGGTTTCAAAACAGAGTTTTCCGCATGCATTTAAACAATATCACCAAAATCCAATACAGGGAGAAGTGTTGTTTGAACAATGTGTCTCCTATTTTCAATACTGAGGCATGATTTATTTCTATATAAAAAAACTATCTTGGATTGTTAGGAAAATATGCAGTTCCTCAGGGTCAACATTTCGTGACCTAGAGAACAGCATGAGATTAGTTTTACTTGTATTTAACACTAATTTAAGATCTGTAAGTGATTTCTGAATTGAATCAGTCATGCTGAAGTTCAATCAAATCAAATCAAATTGTATTTGTCACATACACGTGTTTAGCAGATGTTATAGCGGGTGTAGTGAAATGCTTGTGCTTCTAGCTCTGACTGTGCTGTAATATCTAACAAGTAATATCTAACAATTTCACAACATATACCCAATACACACAAAACTAGTAAGGAATGGGATTTAAGAATATATACATATATGGACATATATGGACAAGCAATGATAGAGCGGCATGGACTAAGATACAGTAGAATATTATAGAGTAGAATGCAGTATATACATATGAGATGAGTAGTGCAAGATATGTAAACATTATTAAAGTGACTAGTGTTCCATGCACTAAGGTGGCACAGGAATACAAAACTGTGTAATCTGCATAGAGATGAACGTTACAAGTAGTAACAGTGTTTCCTATGTCATTAATATACAAGGTGAACAATAATGGACCCAAAATAGAACCCTGAGGAACACCTTTTTGAATCTCAAGAAATTCTGATTTAACCCCATCTGTTAAGATGGCCTGAGTTCTGTTGCTAAAATAATCCTGAAACCGTATACAGGCTGTATATCCCAGGCCTATTCTTGATAACTTCTTCAGCAAAACAGAATGATATACAGTGTCAAATGCCTTTGACAGGTCAATAAACAAGGCAGCACAGCTCTTTTTAGCATCCAAGGCATTGACAAGATCATTAACAACTAGCGTGGTTGCTGTGGTAGTACTATGCCCAGGCCTAAACACTGATTGGTTTATATTAAAAATGCAATTATCAGATAAAAAGGAACAAAGTTGTACATTAACCAAGGATTCAAGAATCTTAGCTAAACAAGGTAGTTTTGAAATGGGGCGATAGATGTCAAGATAATTAGTATCCCCACCCTTATGGAGTGGCAGCAAATATGCAGATTTCCATGCTTTTGGAATACTTCCTGATAACAATGTTAAATAGAAAATGTGGGCTACTGAGCCAGCAATAAAGGGAGCTGCACACTTAAGCAGACCAGGCTCCAAATGATCAGCCCCTGGGGATTCTTTTTGGTCTAATGTTAGCAAAGCATCCAGGACTTCTTTATCAGTGAATTTCCAAAAAGAAAACTCCTGACCAGCATTTTCAGTATCATTCAAAAGGTTTTCACCATCAACATCCAAATGACTATTTTCAAGAGCTGGCTTTGAAATACATTCAAATATATAGCCCGCAGAGATAAAATGGTGATTAAATGCATTAATGATATCAACTTTGTCAGTAATAGGGCCAGAATCTAAATGTATTTCTTGGGGGAGGAGAGAAGAGGAGACACAACCCTTCAGTGACGTAACAGCTTTCCAACATTTAGCTGGGTTCCCTGTACATTCAGATAGTGTTTTAACATAATAGTCAGATTTTTTAGAACTAGTTTTACACACAGATTTCTCAATCGCCTGAAAGACTGCCAGTCTGGGCCCGAGTCTGTGAAGCTAGCTTTGGCCCAGGCAGCATCTCTGTTGTGTATGACTTCAGATAGCTCTGAACTGAACCAAGGGCAAGACCTATTTTTAATTATCAGTTTTTTAAAGGGAGCATGTTTATCTACAATACAATTGAAAACATTTGAGAAGTGGTTAAGAGCCAACTCTGGGTCAGGTATAGATGCAATACAATCAAAGTCACCAAAATAAAGGTCACCAAAAAAGGCCTGTTCATTGAAATGTTTAAAATTATTCTTGTTGATAATAATATGCCATTTAGCAGACGCTTTTATCCAAAGCGACTTACAGTCATGTGCGCATACATTTTTACATATGGGTGGTCCCGGGGATCGAAACCACTACCCTGGCGTTACAAGCGCCATGCTCTACCAATTGAGCTACAGAGGACGGATCTAGGCATCCGTATATCCCTGACACATACAATGGGACAGTGGTCACTAATATCCAAAGCAAATACCCCACTCACAGCATTTTCCTCTGGAGTATTTGTAAATTTGATTTCGTAGGGTCCTTTAAGTTTGGACGAGTAGGCTTTGTAATCAGCTGGGTCAAATTTAGATTAGTACAAAAATCCTTTAAACAGTCAGTATCCTGCGTTTGATTTGAAGCCATTCTTGTGATTATTGTGATTTTGCTATTCATTGTAAATGTTTTTGGGCCTAGGTAGCCAAGTTGTATCTATGATCGTATGCTATCTATTCATGTTTTTTGTATGTTCTGTTTATCTGTGAATTAACCAATGATATCAGGCCACACCCGGCCATGATTACAGACACCTGTGTGTGTGTCCTTTGACACTATATAAACTAGTGACCCGCAGTGTTTGTCATTATACCCTGATGAAGACAGCTTGTCTGTCAATGTTGGTTATTAGGTTATTAAATTATTGCATCTGAGCTCCTAGAGTGTGCTGCTCTCCTTTTCTTTTTCAAGTGTTCTACTCCGTTAGCCAGCACCTCGCCTAAATAGGTGTGCGTTTCTTTCGCCTCTATAAGTATTTAGCATTCCAGTGTTAATACTATTGTAATTATTCTGCACTATAGCCTATTTATTGCCTTACCTCCATAACTTGCTACATTTGCACACACTGTATATATATTTTCTGTTGTATTTCTGACTTTATGTTTTTTACCCCATATGTAACTCTGTGTTGTTTTTATTGCACTACTTTGCTTTATCTTGGCCAGGTCGCAGTTGTAAATGAGAACCTGTTCTCAACTGGCTTACCTGGTTAAATAAAGGTGAAATAAAAAATAAATAAATAAAAATAAGTATCCTGCGTTCCCCATGCAAGATTAAAATCTCCAGCGATCAACACCTCTGGGGTAGTAAAAATGGCAATTAAATCAGTGAGTCCGTTTAGTACACACTTCCTGGTGGAGGGTGGACGATAGATTCCTATAACTGTTATTTTTGAGTTTGAACCCAACTGAAGACTTAAAACCAACAATTCAAATTGTTTAGGACTGGAGGTAGCCTTTAACAGAGACACAGAAATAACATTCAACACCACCACCTTACCCTTTCCTATCAGCCCTAAACACATTGTAACCATCCATAGCAACCTCAGTCCCGGGTTTTATCAGTTTCAGATCAAATAAAAAATATCAGGGTTTGCTTGAGAGGTCCAGATCTTGACATGATCCATTTTAGGTAATAAACTACGAATGTTAAGATGTAGAAATGTCAAACCTTTTCTGCATTTAAAATCACACAGAGTTTCAATACAAGTCAGATTACTTTGAGATTTCAGAACAGGAGACTCAAATATTGGATCATACCTATTAGGAAAAGAAAACAAAGTAGGAATAGCAATTACATTTCTGGTTAGCACCATTAGGCATGTCACCACTTTCAGATACAACATGTGAACTCACAGTGACCAAAGAGGAGATGGTGAAAACTGACTTACATGTAATGCTAATACTGTCCTTACATCAATTTAGTTGACCAAGAACCTTTCCAATGTTTGATGACAACAGCTGGGAGCCATTTTCACCCAGGTGAATGCTGTCTTCCAATCAACAATGATGTTGGGATTTTATCGCATTTCCAGTGCCACAACATTAGATAGTCATTAGAGTAAATAGAATATTTGGAGGGAATATGTTTGATGAACACAAAATAATGTTCATGTCTTCTGTCCCTACCATCCCACAACGTGCCACAAGCTTCCATGTCTTCACCAGAGGAGGATCTTCCCTCCACCTCTCAACCACTGGAGAAACAAAGCAAACGCTCCATCTTAGTGAGGATGTGTTCAATCATCAAGAAAGGCAGTGTAACACCTTCAAACAGGACACCGTAAAGGACTAAAGACTCACTTTAGTCTATTTATCATTAAATACGGTTGCATTTAATTAATTGTATTTGGGGTATTTTCTGAAACTATCTGATCTTACATTTTAAACAGTGTAAATGTAACTTGTGCTAGAGTTACCTCACCAGCAGTTGGTAAGATTTCTTCAATACCGTACAATGTCTCCAACAGCAAGATGCACTGTGGTACAGTATTGTTAGAGAAGGAGAAACCTTTTATAAATGATTGGGCACAATGGTTAGGTTTGGTTATATGTAAACCTTAAGTTTACATATTCAAAACTCAAATTATTAACTATTTGACACAATTCTGAACCTTTAACATCTTTAATCACAATATTCCCCAGTATTATAAATGGTATTTACAACATGGGATTCAACAAACATTCAAGTGGTACAAGCAGTGTATTAAAAGTAAAAAAAAACTTTTTTTAAGGGTACATGTACAAAACGCGTTTACAAAAAATTAGTGGCAGTGAATTTGGGTCTAGTGAGAAACTTGTCTAACACGAGGTGCACTGAATATTGTAGGGATTCTTTCAGATGGTCCCATATGGACAGGTAGAGGAGCCAGTCTACAAACCGGCTCCTCTGATGAGTGGATAGCATGTGCAGTGCAACTCTACACCAGTGTCTATTTTTCGTTCTTCACAGCATTGCCCCCAGTGCTGCTGAAAGACAACGCATCTTTTAGTCCCGTTCCCTTCCTTATCCCAGTGTCCAGAGATGTCCCCTCAAAGAGCCGAGCCATGAAGGCCATGCCGTCCTCTCTGATGTAGGACTTTCCAGCGAAGGTGTAGAGAATGGGGTTGGCACAGCTGCTGATGAAAGCCAGAGCGGAGGTCACAGCACGACTGGGCTGCCATACCATATCTAGTCTGCATAGAGAGCGAGAGAGTTAATGTTGTCGTTACAGTCGTATTACTTATTGTATGGGTGTTGGTGCTTATGTTAAATTTAACTTTAGCTAAATGGAGGGGAAATATGTTGGGTCGGTTGGCACATACCTCTTTTTCATTGTTGAACCGTCTTCAAACTGTTCAGCCACCACCTATGAGAGAAAAAATGTACAATCATTCCTTCATTGTAAAATACTACAACTTCCTATGCTACACTCCACACTCTGAGTGAAATTGCAAGATAAACAATATCATATGATCACACACCTCTATTATGTTAATGGAGTGATATGGCAACCAGAAGATGCCAAACATCACAACGATGGCCAGGATGAGTTTCTCACTGCGGACCTTGCGACGGAACTTGGTCTGTCTGAGGCGTCTCAGGATGCAGATGTAGCTGCTCACTATAACCCCATACGGAACCAGGAATCCCACTACTGTCTCAAAGGTGTACTGGTACACCACCTGAACATGAGAAATTATGTAACGATAAACTGAACACATGTAATGATGGCATAGTGCAATACCAGGCTTATTTAAACATGAATGGGTCTGTCATAAGATCTCAGCTAAAATGTAGGATTGGTTAGGATTTATGATGTCAGGAAGAAAGGGAGGCTCCTGTGATCTTAGTAGTCATATAATGACTGTACCTGTATCAACATGTAAACCTCTTCCTAATCCTGAATAACTATATACTTAAACCAGAAAAAAATTATAATGTATCTAACTCCACTATGAACTTAATATTCACTTATCTCTTGAACTTACATGTTGAGACAGAGTGTGACCGGAGGCACACACCAGGCGGGTTTTGTTCTGTTCGTCATGATCATCCCTCACCTCCCTGAACAGCAGAGCAGGGATAGAAATGAAGAACACCAAGACCCACATCACAGCTATTGCCCGCACCACCGTCTTCTTGCTGGCCAGGGCCGCCACTCGATGGGGCCACACCACCGCAACTAGCCTGTGCAGGCTCATCAGTGTGATGAGGAAGATGGAGGCGTACATGTTAGTGTTGCACAGGTAAAACAGCCCCTTGCACATGGGGTTGCCAAAGTCCCAGTTCTGCCTGGCCAGATAAATTACGAAGAAGATGGTGAGGCACATGAGAAAGCCGTCGGCACACGCCAGGTTGAGGATGAGGAGAGTGGTTACGGAGCGTCGGCGGGCACGGGCCAGGATGCTCCAAATGATGAAGAGGTTTCCTGGGACGCCGAGGAGGAAGACCAGGCTCAAGATGAGGGCTCCTATGGCCGTGGTGGCGTCGTTACTCACGATGCTGGAATCCTCAACAGTGTCTTCGGTGAAGAGGACAGGGGTGGAAGTGGACTTGTTGACATAATGGAGGAGGGAACTGCCATTCTTGGCCATAGTGAGGGTGATTGGCTCTGAGGGAGAGAGGAAGCAAGACGTATAGAGTTATCCATAGACTCTGATGGCTACTGTGTCTACTGTGTGTTATCAACCTTCAATTTCAAAAGCAGCACTGAGCTTGGGTCATTGACCAAGAGGATGACCTACATAAAACACATTAGATATCAGTAGACATTTTACTTATTGAAGCTAAGCTTATGATTTTGATGTAAAGGTTTTAGTCGAGGGCTCAAGGTGCTGACTGTCATCTTCAATCTCTGTGTGATTAAAGAAGTTAAGGAAGGAGATGGACGAGTAAGAAAAAAGGAGGAAATCATTGTCATTGGCCATTGGGATGGTTATTGGCTCTGAGGTAAAGGAGGAAACAAGAGCCCCGTTTATACCTGTTGCTAACATGTGCCCTTTGTCTTGATCTTTTCTACATTCTGATTGTGCACAGGCTACATTTTTAGACAGGTGTAGACAATTAAAAGACACATTGTGATCTAATTGTGATCAGATCTTCCTGACCACCTCCAGAGTTAGTCAAGCACGCATTGTGTCTGGATATCAATCGAGTGTAAACAGACCTGGATGGTGAAACCATTTAAATCATCATTATAATCATCACTCTAAAATCATTGACAGGTAGCACCATTGACTAATGTGGACAGAGTGGAAGGATAAGAGACACATTTAATACAATGTGTAGACGTGACAGATCACACGAAACTCATGTTAGCACAACGTGTAAACAAGTGCTGTTATTGTGAAGTGGAAACGTCTAGGAGCACCAAAGGCTCAGCCGTGAAGTGGTAGGCCACACAAGCTCACAGAACAGGACCACCGAGTGGTCTGTCCAAATGTCAGCACAAATTGTCTGTCAAAACGTCAGCACAATAACTATTCGTCGGAAGCTTCATGAAATGGGTTTCCATGGCCGAGCAGCCGCACACAAGCCTAAGATCACTATGCACAATGCCAAGCATCAGTTGGAGTGGTGTAAAGCTCGCCACCATTGGACTCTGGAAACGCGTTCTCTGGAGTGATGAATCACGCTTCACCATCTGGCAGTCTGACGATCAAATCTGAGTTTGGCAGATGCCAGGAGAATGCTACCTGCCCCAATGCATAGTGCCAACTGTAAAGTTTGGTGGAGGAGGAATAATGGTCTGGGGCTGTTTTTCATGGTTCAGGCTAGGCCCCTTAGTTCCAGTGAAGGGAAATCTTAAAGCTACAGCATACAATGACATTCTAGACGATTCTGTGCTTCCAACTTTGTGGCAACAGTTTGGGGAAGGCCCTTTCCTTTCCTTTTTTTATTTTTTATTTGACTCCCTTTTTCTCCCCAATTTCATGATATCCGATCTTGTCTCACCGCTGCAACTCCGTCGAGAGTCATGCGTCCTCCGAAACATGACCTGCCAAGCCGTGCTGCTTCTTAACACACTGCTTGCTTAACCCGGAAGCCAGCCGCACCAATGTGTCGGAGGAAACATGGTCCAACTGACAACCGAAGTCAGCTTGCAGGCGCCCGGCCCACCACAAGGACTCGTTAGAGCACGATGAACCAAGGAAAATCCCCCCGGCCAAACCCTTCCCTAACCCCGATGACGCTGGGCCAATTGTGCACCACCCCATGGGGCTCCCGGTCACGGCCGGCTGTGACACAGCCTGGGACCGCTGCGCCACTCGGGAGGCCCAGGAAGGACCTTTCCTGATTCAGCATGACAATGCCCCCATGCACAAAGCAAGGTCCATACAGAAATGTTTTGTCAAGATCGGTGTGGAATAACTTGACTGGCCTGCATAGAGCCCTGACCTTAACCCCATCGAACACCTTTGGGATTAATTGGAACGTCAACTCCGAGCCAGGCCTGATCGACCAACATCAGTGTCCAACCTCACTAATACTCTTGTGGCTGAATTGAAGCAAGTACCCGCAGCAATGTTCCAACATCTAGTGGAAAGCCTTCTCAGAAGAGTGGAGGCTGTTATAGCAGCAAATGGGGGACCAACTCCATATTAATGCGCATGATTTTGCAATGAGATGTTCGACAAGTAGGTGTCCACATACTTTTGGTCATGCATGTAGCGTATCACAGAACTGTGTCACCAACATCAAATTAGGTGGATTGTTTTGCATATGGTTTACACAAGTTTCGCGAGTCCATCCTTCCAAATCTCACCTCGTTGATGTGAGTGAAGCCTGGGCATCCAAGGCCAGGTTGACACCGATAGAAATAGCTTTGGGATAGAATTATATTTGAGGTTGGTGGTACATGTCTCTCTCTACCATCTGTCACTGTTGTATCTTTGCGGTAGACAATGTGTTTGCAGCATACATAAAAAGTTTTGCCACTAAAGCAGGCAAGCAAATATTCACATTAGCCCTCCTGGCCAACAGTATACTGGCACAGCACAGAGACGGCATGCTAAAACATGCCAAATATTAACGCTGCTCCTTTAAAAGACTCCACTAAGATAGTCATCGACTTCTCTTGATTTCTTCCCTCCTGCTTTCTCTCTGTATCTTTTTCTTTGTCTCTCTCACTGTACTCCACATTGGCACAATCATTTCCTCTTACCATCACAGGTCTTCCTCATAAGTAAGTTCTATTTCTACCCATCTGTAAAGCTATGAAGAGGAAGCACACCAAATAATGGTTCACAGAAGTGGAAATCTTGTCAATCAGGCTATGAACAGGGCAACAAGTTTCCACTTGTGCATCTTTTGTCTTGCCCAGTCACCCTCTAAATGGCACACATACACAATATATGTCTCAATTGTCTCAAGGATTAAAAATCCTTCTTTAGTCTGTCTCCTCCCCTTCATCTACACTGATTGAAGTGGATTTAACAAGTGACATCAATAAGGGATCATAGCTTTCACCTGGATTCACCTGGTCAGTCTATGTCATGGAAAGAGCAGGTGTTCATAATGTCAGTGTAATTGTATTTATACTGGTTACATTTCTAGAAAGAATACAGCCCTTCTTTGGCAGTGTGAAAACATAAACTCTACTTTACAGACTGACATAACAGCAGGTTTTGTTTATTTCAAAAGCTGACCTTAGATCAGTGTAGAGATGTGTCAACATGAGAATCAAGGCAAAGTTACGTCAACAGCAAGGAACACACAGAACCACACAGAGACAGGACGGGCTCATCAACACATGGAGACGAGAGAGAGAGAGGGAAGAGGATGGAATTAGAAAATGTATGAGCAAAATAGGTAAGAAAATCAGAGTTTTGGAAAGAAAATGGGAAATTAATTAGGAATAATTAAGAGATTGGGAGAGACAGTGAGAGAGAGAGAAAGAGAGAGAGGGAGAGACTGAAAATGAGAATAGAGTATGTCCCAGGGAGAAGTTCAGGATATTTTCATCCACTCACCTTACTACACAATCGAGACCTCAGAGGACGATGAAGAGGCTGATGATGAGCAATGGATCTGAGTAGGGTGTGTAACCATATGGTGGGAATAGTTTTGTATTTATCTACACTCTCTGCTTCTCTCTCTTTTCTGACAGCTCATATCCAATTCCCTCTCTCTTTCTATTTTCTTCTTTACAACTGCTTGTTTCCCCCGTCTTTCCCTGCTACTGTGTCTAATAAATGTGCTGTCCCACAAGCTGTAACATGCTGTGAGGGGCGAGAGAGGTGTGTCCTTCATTTAGTCTCCAACCTCTCTCTCTCTTTCACACACACACCCTCCACAGCTGTGTTTATACCTGGTGCTAACCGTCCCCCTTTTGTCCTGATCTTATCCACATTCTGATTGTGCCCACATTATTAAACAGGTGTAGACGATTAAAGGACACATTGTGATCTGATTGTGATCTTCCTGACCACCTCCAGAGGTAATCAGGCACCCATTGTGTCTGCCCACTGGGCACAGACGTCAGTTCAACGTCTAGTTTTGATTTACATTTGGTTGAGTTGTGAACTAACGTGAATTCAACAAAAAATGTCACAATGTCATTGGATTTATGTTAAAACTTGGGGCGAAAAAATACTAAATGCCCTTAAGTTGAAGACTTTTTGCAAATCCAATCAGTTTTCCATGTTGATTCGACGTCATCACTCATCACATACCCCGTTCAAAGGCACTTACATTTTTTGTCTTGACCATTCACCCTCTAAATGGCACACACACACAATCTGTCTCAATTGTCTCAAGGATAAAACATAATCCCCTTCATCTAAACTGATTGATATGGATTTAACAAGTGACATCAATAAGGGATAACAGCTTTCACCGGGATTCACCTGGTCAGTCTATGTCATGGAAAGAGCAGGTGTTCTTAGTGTTTTGTATACTCAGTGTACATATATATATATATACAGTACCAATCAAAAGTTCGGACACACCTACTCATTCAAGGGTTTTTCTTTATTTTTACTATTTTCTACATTGTAGAATAATAGTGAAGACATCAAAACTATGAAATAACACATATGGAATCATGCAGTAACCAAAAAAGTGTTAAACAAATCAAAATATATTTTATATTTGAGATTCTTCAAATAGCCACCATTTGCCTTGATGACAGCTTTGCACACTCTTGGCATTCTCTCAACCAGCATGGTGGCTATTTGAAGAATCTCAAATATAAAATATATTTTGATTTGTTTAATACTTTTGTGGTTACTACATAATTCCATATGTGTTATTTCATAGTTTTGATGTCTTCACTATTATTCTACAATGTAGAAAATAGTAAAAATAAAGAAAAACCCTTGAATGAGTAGGTGTGTCCAAACTTTTGACTGGTACTGTATATATATACAGTGAGGGAAAAAAGTATTTGATCCCCTGCTGATTTTGTATGTTTTCCCACTGACAAAGACATGATCAGTCTATAATTTTAATCGTAGGTTTATTTGAACAGTGAGAGACAGAATAACAACAAAAAAATGCAGAAAACCGCATGTCCAAAATGTTATAAATTGATTTGCATTTTAATGAGGGAAATAAGTATTTGACCCCTCTGCAAAACTGTCAGAATCGTCGAATACAGTGGACCAAGGCGCAGCGTGATGAGTGAACATACTTTTTTTATTTGAATCACCACAACGAACAAAACAACAAAACGATAACGTGACGTCCTTGGTTACAAACACTAACCACACACAGAACAAGATCCCACAACACACTGTGGAAACAGGCTGCCTAAGTATGGTTCCCAATCAGAGACAACAAGCAACAGCTGATTCACGTTGCCTCTGATTGAGAACCACACCGGCCAACATAGAAACAAATGAACTAGAATATCACCCTAGCACACAAAACACATAGAAACAACACACCCTGGCTCAACATATCAGAGTCCCAGAGCCAGGGCGTGACAGTACCCCCCCCCCAAAGGCGCGGACTGCGACAAACATAAACCGAACAGGGGAGGGCCGGGTGGGCATTCCTCCTCGGAGGCGGTTCCGGCTCCGGGCATGACCCCCACTCCCTTTCTAACCCCCCAAAGCGCCCCTGGTCCGGTCTGGCCCTGCTGGCCGGAGCTGGACTGAACACTGGTGGAGCGGATTGCTCTAGCTCCGGAGTGGAGCAGCTGACTGGTGCCGGACCAGGCACCGGTGGAACAGGCACGGGCTGTGCCGGACTGACGACGCGCACCACAGGCTTGGTGCGGGGAGCAGGGACGGGCCGGACCGGGCTAACGACGCGCACCAAAGGCTTGGTGCGGGGAGCAGGGACGGGCCGAACCGGGCTGACGAAGCGCACCACTGGCTTGGTGCGGGGAGCAGGAACAGGCCGGACCGGGCTAACGACGCGCACCAAAGGCTTGGTGCGGGGAGCAGGGACGGGCCGAACCGGGCTGACGAAGCGCACCACTGGCTTGGTGCGGGGAGCAGGAACGGACCAAAACAGGCTGACGACTCGCACCACTGGCTTGGTGCGGGAAGCAGGAACGGGCCGGACCGGGCTGGCGACGCGCACCACTGGCTTGGTGCGAGGGGCAGGAACAGGCCGGACCGGGCTGGCGACGCGCACCACAGGCTTGGTGCGAGGGGCAGGAACATGCCGGACCGGACTGGCAACACACCCCAGTACCTCTCGCCGTGCCTCTACATTCTCCTTCCCCCTGGTGACCAGTGACTCCCGTAACCTGGCGGCCTCCTGCTGCCCCGTCGTCCACGGTGTGAGCCCCCCCCTAAAAATTTTCTGGCTGTCTCTCCTCCCCGTGGGCCAGGCCTCCATGGCCCTCGCCAGACTCTCGCTCCTCTGCTCCCAAGACCAGCCTCTCTCCTCCTCCCGCGGCTTGACCCAGTCGAGGTTGATCTTCGTTAGAGTCCTCTCTGGCGTTGGCTCCTGGACACGCTGCTTGGTCCAGTTATGGTGGGATCTTCTGTCACGATCGTTGGAGGAAGTGGACCAATGCGCAGCGTGATGAGTGAACATACTTATTTATTAGAGAACAAAACGATAACGTGACGTCCTTGGTTACAAACACTAACAATACACGGAACAAGATCCCACAACACACTGTGGAAAACAGGCTGCCTAAGTATGGCCCCCAATCAGAGACAACAAGCAACAGCTGATTCACGTTGCCTCTGATTGAGAACCACACCGGCCAACATAGAAACAAATGAGCTAGATAATCAACCTAGAAACAAAACACATAGAAACAACACACCCTGGCTCAACATAACAGAGTCCCAGAGCCAGGGCGTGACAAAAACATGACTTAGTACTTGGTGGCAAAACCCTTGTTGGCAATCACAGAGGTCAGACGTTTCATGTAGTTGGCCACCAGGTTTGCACACATCTCAGGAGGGATTTTGTCCCACTACTCTTTGCAGATCTTACATTTACATTTTAGTCATTTAGCAGACGCTCTTATCCAGAGCGACTTACAGGAGCAATTAGGGTTAAGTGCCTTGCTCAAGGGTACATCGACAGATTTTTCACCTAGTCGGCTCGGGGATTAGAACCAGCGACCTTTCGGTTACTGGCACAATGCTCTTAACCACTAAGCTACCTGCCGACTTCTCCAAGTCATTAAGGTTTCGAGCCTGACGTTTGGCAACTCGAACCTTCAGCTCCCTCCACAGATTCTCTATGGGATTACGGTCTGGAGACTGGCTAGGCCACTCCAGGACCTTAATGTGCTTCTTCTTGAGCCACTCCTTTGTTGCCTTGGCCGTGTGTTTTGGGTCATTGTCATGCTGGAATACCCATCCACGACCCATTTTCAATGCCCTGGCTGAGGGAAGGAGGTTCTCACCCAAGAGGCGTACATGTTAGTGTTGCACAGGTAAAACAGCCCCTTGCACATGGGGTTGCCAAAGTCCCAGTTCTGCCTGGCCAGATAAATTACGAAGAAGATGGTGAGGCACATGAGAAAGCTGTCGGCACACGCCAGCTTGAGGATGAGGAGAGTGGTTACGGAGCGTCGGCGGGCACGGGCCAGGATGCTCCAAATGATGAAGAGGTTTCCTGGGACGCCGAGGAGGAAGACCAGGCCCAAGATGAGGGCTCCTATGGCCGTGGTGGCGTCGTTACTCATGATGCTGGAATCCTCAACAGTGTCTTTGGTGAAGACGACAGGGGTGGAAGTGGACTTGTTGACATAATGGAGGAGGGAACTGCCATTCTTGGCCATAGTGAGGGTGATTGGCTCTGAGGGAGAGAGGAAGCAAGACGTATAGAGTTATCCATAGACTCTGATGGCTACTGTGTCTACTGTGTGTTATCAACCTTCAATTTCAAAAGCAGCACTGAGCTTGGGTCATTGACCAAGAGGATGACCTACATAAAACACATTAGATATCAGTAGACATTTTACTTATTGAAGCTAAGCTTATGATTTTGATGTAAAGGTTTTAGTCGAGGGCTCAAGGTGCTGACTGTCATCTTCAATCTCTGTGTGATTAAAGAAGTTATGGAAGGAGATGGACGAGTAAGAAAAAAGGAGGAAATCATTGTCATTGGCCATTGGGACGGTTATTGGCTCTGAGGTAAAGGAGGAAACAAGAGCCCCGTTTATACCTGTTGCTAACATGTGCCCTTTGTCTTGATCTTTTCTACATTCTGATTGTGCCCAGGCTACATTTTTAGACAGGTGTAGACAATTAAAAGACACATTGTGATCTAATTGTGATCAGATCTTCCTGACCACCTCCAGAGTTAGTCAAGCACGCATTGTGTCTGGATATCAATCGAGTGTAAACAGACCTGGATGGTGAAACCATTTAAATCATCATTATAATCATCACTCTAAAATCATTGACAGGTAGCACCATTGACTAATGTGGACAGAGTGGAAGGATAAGAGACACATTTAATACAATGTGTAGACGTGACAGATCACACAAAACTCATGTTAGCACAACATGTAAACAAGTGCTGTTATTGTGAAGTGGAAACGTCTAGGAGCACCAAAGGCTCAGCCGTGAAGTGGTAGGCCACACAAGCTCACAGAACAGGACCACCGAGTGGTCTGTCCAAATGTCAGCACAAATTGTCTGTCAAAACGTCAGCACAATAACTATTCGTCGGAAGCTTCATGAAATGGGTTTCCATGGCCGAGCAGCCGCACACAAGCCTAAGATCACTATGCACAATGCCAAGCATCAGTTGGAGTGGTGTAAAGCTCGCCACCATTGGACTCTGGAAACGCGTTCTCTGGAGTGATGAATCACGCTTCACCATCTGGCAGTCTGACGATCAAATCTGAGTTTGGCAGATGCCAGGAGAATGCTACCTGCCCCAATGCATAGTGCCAACTGTAAAGTTTGGTGGAGGAGGAATAATGGTCTGGGGCTGTTTTTCATGGTTCAGGCTAGGCCCCTTAGTTCCAGTGAAGGGAAATCTTAAAGCTACAGCATACAATGACATTCTAGACGATTCTGTGCTTCCAACTTTGTGGCAACAGTTTGGGGAAGGCCCTTTCCTTTCCTTTTTTAATTTTTTATTTTACTCCCTTTTTCTCCCCAATTTCATGATATCCGATCTTGTCTCACCGCTGCAACTCCGTCGAGAGTCATGCGTCCTCCGAAACATGACCTGCCAAGCCGTGCTGCTTCTTAACACACTGCTTGCTTAACCCGGAAGCCAGCCGCACCAATGTGTCGGAGGAAACATGGTCCAACTGACAACCGAAGTCAGCTTGCAGGCGCCCGGCCCACCACAAGGACTCGTTAGAGCACGATGAACCAAGGAAAATCCCCCCGGCCAAACCCTTCCCTAACCCCGATGACGCTGGGCCAATTGTGCACCACCCCATGGGGCTCCCGGTCACGGCCGGCTGTGACACAGCCTGGGACCGCTGCGCCACTCGGGAGGCCCAGGAAGGACCTTTCCTGATTCAGCATGACAATGCCCCCATGCACAAAGCAAGGTCCATACAGAAATGTTTTGTCAAGATCGGTGTGGAATAACTTGACTGGCCTGCATAGAGCCCTGACCTTAACCCCATCAAACACCTTTGGGATTAATTGGAACGTCAACTCCGAGCCAGGCCTGATCGACCAACATCAGTGTCCAACCTCACTAATACTCTTGTGGCTGAATTGAAGCAAGTACCCGCAGCAATGTTCCAACATCTAGTGGAAAGCCTTCTCAGAAGAGTGGAGGCTGTTATAGCAGTAAATGGGGGACCAACTCCATATTAATGCGCATGATTTTGCAATGAGATGTTCGACAAGTAGGTGTCCACATACTTTTGGTCATGCATGTAGCGTATCACAGAACTGTGTCACCAACATCAAATTAGGTGGATTGTTTTGCATATGGTTTACACAAGTTTCGCGAGTCCATCCTTCCAAATCTCACCTCGTTGATGTGAGTGAAGCCTGGGCATCCAAGGCCAGGTTGACACCGATAGAAATAGCTTTGGGATATAATTATATTTGAGGTTGGTGGTACATGTCTCTCTCTACCATCTGTCACTGTTGTATCTTTGCGGTAGACAATGTGTTTGCAGCATACATAAAAAGTTTTGCCACTAAAGCAGGCAAGCAAATATTCACATTAGCCCTCCTGGCCAACAGTATACTGGCACAGCACAGAGACGGCATGCTAAAACATGCCAAATATTAACGCTGCTCCTTTAAAAGACTCCACTAAGATAGTCATCGACTTCTCTTGATTTCTTCCCTCCTGCTTTCTCTCTGTATCTTTTTCTTTGTCTCTCTCACTGTACTCCACATTGGCACAATCATTTCCTCTTACCATCACAGGTCTTCCTCATAAGTAAGTTCTATTTCTACCCATCTGTAAAGCTATGAAGAGGAAGCACACCAAATAATGGTTCACAGAAGTGGAAATCTTGTCAATCAGGCTATGAACAGGGCAACAAGTTTCCACTTGTGCATCTTTTGTCTTGCCCAGTCACCCTCTAAATGGCACACATACACAATATATGTCTCAATTGTCTCAAGGATTAAAAATCCTTCTTTAGTCTGTCTCCTCCCCTTCATCTACACTGATTGAAGTGGATTTAACAAGTGACATCAATAAGGGATCATAGCTTTCACCTGGATTCACCTGGTCAGTCTATGTCATGGAAAGAGCAGGTGTTCATAATGTCAGTGTAATTGTATTTATACTGGTTACATTTCTAGAAAGAATACAGCCCTTCTTTGGCAGTGTGAAAACATAAACTCTACTTTACAGACTGACATAACAGCAGGTTTTGTTTATTTCAAAAGCTGACCTTAGATCAGTGTAGAGATGTGTCAACATGAGAATCAAGGCAAAGTTACGTCAACAGCAAGGAACACACAGAACCACACAGAGACAGGACGGGCTCATCAACACATGGAGACGAGAGAGAGAGAGGGAAGAGGATGGAATTAGAAAATGTATGAGCAAAATAGGTAAGAAAATCAGAGTTTTGGAAAGAAAATGGGAAATTAATTAGGAATAATTAAGAGATTGGGAGAGACAGTGAGAGAGAGAGAAAGAGAGAGAGGGAGAGACTGAAAATGAGAATAGAGTATGTCCCAGGGAGAAGTTCAGGATATTTTCATCCACTCACCTTACTACACAATCGAGACCTCAGAGGACGATGAAGAGGCTGATGATGAGCAATGGATCTGAGTAGGGTGTGTAACCATATGGTGGGAATAGTTTTGTATTTATCTACACTCTCTGCTTCTCTCTCTTTTCTGACAGCTCATATCCAATTCCCTCTCTCTTTCTATTTTCTTATTTACAACTGCTTGTTTCCCCCGTCTTTCCCTGCTACTGTGTCTAATAAATGTGCTGTCCCACAAGCTGTAACATGCTGTGAGGGGCGAGAGAGGTGTGTCCTTCATTTAGTCTCCAACCTCTCTCTCTCTTTCACACACACACCCTCCACAGCTGTGTTTATACCTGGTGCTAACCGTCCCCCTTTTGTCCTGATCTTATCCACATTCTGATTGTGCCCACATTATTAAACAGGTGTAGACGATTAAAGGACACATTGTGATCTGATTGTGATCTTCCTGACCACCTCCAGAGGTAATCAGGCACCCATTGTGTCTGCCCACTGGGCACAGACGTCAGTTCAACGTCTAGTTTTGATTTACATTTGGTTGAGTTGTGAACTAACGTGAATTCAACAAAAAATGTCACAATGTCATTGGATTTATGTTAAAACTTGGGGCGAAAAAATACTAAATGCCCTTAAGTTGAAGACTTTTTGCAAATCCAATCAGTTTTCCATGTTGATTCGACGTCATCACTCATCACATACCCCGTTCAAAGGCACTTACATTTTTTGTCTTGACCATTCACCCTCTAAATGGCACACACACACAATCTGTCTCAATTGTCTCAAGGATAAAACATAATCCCCTTCATCTAAACTGATTGATATGGATTTAACAAGTGACATCAATAAGGGATAACAGCTTTCACCGGGATTCACCTGGTCAGTCTATGTCATGGAAAGAGCAGGTGTTCTTAGTGTTTTGTATACTCAGTGTACATATATATATATATATACAGTACCAATCAAAAGTTCGGACACACCTACTCATTCAAGGGTTTTTCTTTATTTTTACTATTTTCTACATTGTAGAATAATAGTGAAGACATCAAAACTATGAAATAACACATATGGAATCATGCAGTAACCAAAAAAGTGTTAAACAAATCAAAATATATTTTATATTTGAGATTCTTCAAATAGCCACCATTTGCCTTGATGACAGCTTTGCACACTCTTGGCATTCTCTCAACCAGCATGGTGGCTATTTGAAGAATCTCAAATATAAAATATATTTTGATTTGTTTAATACTTTTGTGGTTACTACATAATTCCATATGTGTTATTTCATAGTTTTGATGTCTTCACTATTATTCTACAATGTAGAAAATAGTAAAAATAAAGAAAAACCCTTGTATGAGTAGGTGTGTCCAAACTTTTGACTGGTCCTGTATATATACAGTGGGGGAAAAAAGTATTTAGTCAGCCACCAATTGTGCAAGTTCTCCCACTTAAAAAGATGAGAGAGGCCTGTAATTTTCATCATAGGTACACGTCAACTATGACAGACAAATTGAGATTTTTTTCCCCAGAAAATCACATTGTAGGATTTTTTATGAATTTATTTGCAATTTATGGTGGAAAATAAGTATTTGGTCACCTACAAACAAGCAAGATTTCTGGCTCTCACAGACCTGTAACTTCTTCTTTAAGAGGCTCCTCTGTCCTCCACTCGTTACCTGTATTAATGGCACCTGTTTGAACTTGTTATCAGTATAAAAGACACCTGTCCACAACCTCAAACAGTCACACTCCAAACTCCACTATGGCCAAGACCAAAGAGCTGTCAAAGGACACCAGAAACAAAATTGTAGACCTGCACCAGGCTGGGAAGACTGAATCTGCAATAGGTAAGCAGCTTGGTTTGAAGAAATCAACTGTGGGAGCAATTATTAGGAAATGGAAGACATACAAGACCACTGATAATCTCCCTCGATCTGGGGCTCCATGCAAGATCTCACCCCGTGGGGTCAAAATGATCACAAGAACGGTGAGCAAAAACCCCAGAACCACACGGGGGGACCTAGTGAATGACCTGCAGAGAGCTGGGACCAAAGTAACAAAGCCTACCATCAGTAACACACTATGCCGCCAGGGACTCAAATCCTGCAGTGCCAGACGTGTCCCCCTGCTTAAGCCAGTACATGTCCAGGCCCGTCTGAAGTTTGCTAGAGTGCATTTGGATGATCCAGAAGAGGATTGGGAGAATGTCATATGGTCAGATGAAACCAAAATAGAACTTTTTGGTAAAAACTCAATGTGTCGTGTTTGGAGGACAAAGAATGCTGAGTTGCATCCAAAGAATACCATACCTACTGTGAAGCATGGGGGTGGAAACATCATGCTTTGGGGCTGTTTTTCTGCAAAGGGACCAGAACGACTGATCCGTGTAAAGGAAAGAATGAATGGGGCCATATATCGTGAGATTTTGAGTAAAAACCGCCTTCCATCAGCAAGGGCATTGAAGATGAAATGTGGCTGGGTCTTTCAGCATGACAATGATCCCAAACACACCGCCCGGGCAACCAAGGAGTGGCTTCGTAAGAAGCATTTCAAGGTCCTGGAGTGGCCTAGCCAGTCTCCAGATCTCAACCCCATAGAAAATCTTTGGAGGGAGTTGAAAGTCTGTGTTGCCCAGCGACAGCCCCAAAACATCACTGCTCTAGAGGAGATCTGCATGGAGGAATGGGCCAAAATACCAGCAACAGTGTGTGAAAACCTTGTGAAGACTTACAGAAAACGTTTGACCTGTGTCATTGCCAACAAAGGGTATACAACAAAGTATTGAGAAACGTTTGTTATTGACCAAATACTTATTTTCCACCATAATTTGCAAATACATTCATTAAAAATCCTTCAATGTGATTTTCTGGATTTTTTTTCTCATTTTGTCTGTCATAGTTGACGTGTACCTATGATGAAAATTACAGGCCTCTCTCATCTTTTTAAGTGGGAGAACTTGCACAATTGGTGGCTGACTAAATACTTTTTTCCCCCACTGTATACAGTGAGGGAAAAAAGTATTTGATCCCCTGCTGATTTTGTACGTTTGCCCACTGACAAAGACATGATCAGTCTATAATTTTAATGGTAGGTTTATTTGAACAGTGAGACACAGAATAACAACAACAAAAATTCAGAAAAACGCATGTCCAAAATGTTATAAATTTATTTGCATTTTAATGAGGGAAATAAGTATTTGACCCCTCTGCAAAACATGACTTAGTACTTGGTGGCAAAACCCTTGTTGGCAATCACAGAGGTCAGATGTTTCTTGTAGTTGGCCACCAGGTTTGCACACATCTCAGGAGGGATTTTATCCCACTCCTCTTTGCAGATCTTCTCCGAGTCATTAAGGTTTCAAGGCTGACGTTTGGCAACTCGAACCTTCAGCTCCCTCCACATATTTTCTATGGGATTAAGGTCTGGAGACTGGCTAGGCCACTCCAGGACCTTAATGTGCCTCTTTTTGAGACACTCCTTTGTTGCCTTGGCCGTGTGTTTTGGGTCATTGTCATGCTGGAATACCCATCCACGACCCATTTTCAATGCCCTGGTTGAGGGAAGGAGGTTCTCACCCAAGATTTGACGGTACATGGCCCCGTCCATCGTCCCTTTGATGCGGTGAAGTTGTCCTGTCCCCTTAGCAGAAAAACACCCCCAAAGCATAATGTTTCCACCTCCACGTTTGACGGTGGGGATGGTGTTCTTGGGGTCATAGGCAGCATTCCTCCTCCTCCAAACACGGCGAGTTGACTTGATGCCAAAGAGCTCGATTTTGGTCTCATCTGACCACAACACTTTCACCCAGTTCTCCTCTGAATCATTCAGATGTTCATTGGCAATCTTCAGACGGGCCTGTATATGCGCTTTCTTCAGCAAGGGGACCTTGCGGGCGCTGCAGGATTTCAGTCCTTCACGGCGTAGTGTGTTACCAATTGTTTTCTTGGTGACTATGGTCCCAGCTGCCTTGAGATCATTGACAAGATCCTCCCGTGTAGTTCTGGGCTGATTCCTCACCGTTCTCGTGATCATTGCAACTCCACGAGGTGAGATCTTGCATGGAGCCCCAGGCTGAGGGAGATTGACAGTTATTTTGTGTTTCTTCCATTTGCGAATAATCACACCTACTGTTGTCACCTTCTCACCAAGGTGCTTGGCGATGGTCTTGTAGCCCATTCCAGCCTTGTGTAGGTCTACAATCTTGTCCCTGACATCCTTGGAGAGCTCTTTGGTCTTGGCCATGGTGGAGAGTTTGGAATCTGATTGATTGATTGCTTCTGTGGACAGGTGTCTTTCATACAGGTAACAAGCTGAGATTAGGAGCATTACCTTTAAGAGTGTGCTCCTAATCTCAGCTCGTTACCTGTATAAAAGACACCTGGGAGCCAGAAATCTTTCTGATTGAGAGGGGGTCAAATACTTATTTCCCTCATTAAAATGCAAATAAATTTATACGATTTTTTACATGTGTTCTTCTGGATTTTTTTGCTCTTATTCTGTCTCTCACTGTTCAAATAAACCTACCATTAAAATTATAGACTGATAATTTCTTTGTCAGTGGGCAAACGTACAAAATCAGCAGGGGATCAAATACTTTTTTCCCCTCACTGTACATTTGATATCTTTATAAGTGACAGCTTACAGTTCCTGTCTAACACATTCACTCAGCCACCAAAACATCCAACCAGTTATTATCTTCCTCTGGTTTTAGCTCAGTCCTTTCAGGTCTGTTGTTATTACCTGTATGCCTATTTCCTCTATAAGTTGAAATATTAATGTATTATCATAAATGCTTCCCACTGGTGTTTGGAGATACTGAATACATGATAATAGTTATTTTGTCTGAAATGTTCACTGTGTTCAAATGTTCCTTCAGATAATATAGTAATATATTGGAAACTGAGGCATTTACTCCATCATCTCCTATACTGTACTTGATTCCCTTTCTGGGAACTTTATTGAAAGACTGTTCCACCTTTTTACCACATGGTGGCAAGATATCCACATAATGATATCCTCCTTCCCCTGTCAATGAATTTTACATTCAACCATTGACATCTGACTGAAACCCAGCCTGAGGATTTGGCCCACATTATCATCCTTCTAATTTGTAACACTCACATGCCTCCCAAATAAAACCCTACTGATTATATAAACTCCAAAAAGCAATTTCTTATCTCTTGCCAAGACCCTATGAAGGCCAGATAATTCTGCAATCCTATAGAATAAATCCCAATCCCCCACAATCTAAACTATATTTTACGCTAAATAAGCCTCTCAAACATAATCCAGGTAGAATCAGGAATTCCCCAGGGCAGCTGTCTAGGCCCCTTGCTTTTTTCCATCTTTACTAACGACATGCCACTGACTTTGAGTAAAGCCAGTGTGTCTATGTATGCAGATGACTCAACACTATACACGTCAGCTACTACAGCAACTGAAATAACTGCAACACTTAACAAAGAGTTGCAGTTCGTTACGGTATGGTTGGCAAGGAATAAGTTAGTCCTGAATATTTCCAAAACTAAAAGCATTGTATTTGGGTCAAATCATTCACTAAACCCTAAACCTCAACTACATCTCGTAATGAATAATGTGGAAATTGAGCAAGTTGAGGTGACTAAACTGCTTGGAGTAAACCTCACTCTACACACACGTACACAAGGATGTTGTATTGTAAATATGTGATAGTGGAGTAGTGGCCTGAGGGAACACACTAAATGTAATGGGTAAAGTGTTATGAAATATAATGTCATGTAATATTTTTTATTGTATATAACCGCCATAATGTTGCAGGACCCCAGGAAGAGTAGCTGCTGCCTTGGCAGCAGTTAATGGGAATCCTTAATAAATACAAATACAAATAACATAATGATTGTGAGAACTGGAGGAGGGGGTGAGAGAGGGAGTGAGGGAGGGAGAGAGCATGTATATTTAAGTTTTTCGTCTCCGTCTCAGACAGAGTGCAGACTACAGAGGATAATGAGAAACAGATCTTGCAAGGCGAGGGAGGGAGGGAGGGAGAGGGGGGTGAGCCTGGGAGAGCAGGAGGAGGAACATGGCGGAGGGAAAAGAAAAAGGCTGAGAGGGGTAATGGGAGTAGGAAGGGAGGATGACAAGACAGAGGGGGGGAAGTCATGTAAACACCACAGGAAACAGCCTGGCCTCCTTATGCTCTCTGAATGACAGTGAAGCATCATGGTCCTTCTTATGACAGAGAGCACAGCGAGGTACAGTGAGGCCAGAGCAAGGAGGAACAGCCCACCAGCCAAACATCTGGCTCAAGAGGGTCACTTCATTACTTTTATTACACTCAAGTTGATGCCCTTTAAAAACTTTGGTGATTGGGGGAGGGAGGGAAAACAGAAAACTTCTGGAAGTACTGTCAAACTGTCCGAGGAAATGTAGGCAATCATCTATAGGCTCTAGCCTAGGTCTACTTAACATATTCGTTATTTTGAAGAAATGGTTCAAAGTAAAAAACATTAAACTAGCCACTGAATGGGAAGAGAAACATCCCAGGCTAATGGACATAGACAGAGGGGTCTCCTTGACTGACAACCAAAATGTCCTATTGGGATCGAGTAACGGTCCAAACTGGGCTGGGCAACCCACCCAAAGGCAATTAAAGGTAAAGGACGACCAAATATTTGATACACTTTCTGGTCGATAGAAGAAAGGATGGCGACAGAGCATTAGAATTAAACACTGATAGATAGCCTGTGATGGAATAGATAGATACCGGTCCTATGGTTCACGGACTTCAAAGAACTAAACGATATACGCATTTAAATCTGTCTTCTCTAAAACCTCGAATGAAATCGATGTATAGCGGTGGTAGTGGGCTTCTGATCCGTCCAAAGTAACTGGCTTATAGACGGAAGACATTGTAAAAAGTTATAGAAGGAGCATACAATCCGGATGACAAGAACAATTTGGGCAAATGTGACACCTACCCTTGCAGATAACCTCCTACATACATTTTGGGAAATCGTCGATGTTTTCCCAAAAAGGACCAAGGAAATTATCATTATCAGATAACACAGCAGATCGCTATCTTTTCAACTGTGAGTTCTCTTCATCAGTTTCTCAGACTTTTTTCGCTTGCTGTGGGGATGGGGGCTGTGCCGGGTTCAGGTTGGGAGGAGGGGGAGTTCGAGTTCAAGTTGGTTTTTGAGGAAGACCCGACGCGCCAACTCCGAGGCCCATCCCCGCTGTGCAACGCGGACCAGGAGCACACCATCGTGGGGGAGAGGACAGAGAGCGCCCTGTCACTCCTAGAGTCGAGCAATACTGGTTAGAACCCTTTCTTGAATAGTGTGTGTGAATGTTTTTGAATGTGGGAGAGATTGACAGAGAGAGAGATTGAGGAGGAAAGGAAGATTGAAGGCTGGTCAATGGTCCCCAATGTAGACAACTCATACACATTGTAGAGACCGTTCTCAGTGTGTGGTGTATGTAATGTGAATGATTTAGTTGACTTGTTCTGAGTACGTTTATCATTTATTAGTACAATTATTAGGCCTAATGTTCTCTCTCTCTCTCTACCTGGGTATAGATTAGTTATGTGTCTGAACAGGGCTCTCCAACCCTGTTCTTTGAGAGCTACCCTCTTGTAGGTTTTCACTCCAACCCCAGTTGTAACTAACCTGATTCGGTTTATCAACCAGCTAATTATTAGAATCAGGCACGCTAGATTGGGGTTGGAGCGAAAAACTACAGGACAGTAGTTCTCTAGGAATAGGGTTGGAGAGCTCAGGTCTGGATGTACTGTACTGTATGTGCACACTTGCTTGTCTGTGTCTGGGGGATGTGCGTTCATGTGCATGGAGAATGCATGTTCTGTAGCCTACTCTGTGTGCTGTGTATTGCATGCTTGTGCTTGCCTGTATGGTGTGTGTGTAAGAGCAGAACTCAATGTGGTTTTAATCAGCTGTGCGTGTGAGTGACGTTAACAGCTGCCATCTGGATGGAACCTCAATCTCTTTACTGAGCATGCACCACATACTCACCTCCCTCCGTTCTCCCTCTCCTCTCCCTCCGTTCTCCCTCTCCTCTCCCTCTGTTCTCCTTCTCCTCTCCCTCCGTTCTCCCTCTCCTCTCCCTCCGTTCTCCCTCTCCTCTCCCTCCGTTCTCCCTCTCCTCTCCCTCCGTTCTCCTTCTCCTCTCCCTCTCCTTCTCCTCCTCCTCTCCCTCCGTTCTCCTCCTCCTCTCCCTCCGTTCTCCTTCTCCTCTCCCTCCGTTCTCCTTCCTCTCCCTCCTTCTCCTTCCGTTCTCCCTCTCCTCTCCCTCCGTTCTCCCTCCGTTCTCCCTCCGTTCTCCTTCTCCTCTCCCTCCATTCTCCTTCTCCTCTCCCTCCGTTCTCCTTCTCCTCTCCCTCCGTTCTCCTTCTCCTCTCCCTCCGTTCTCCTTCTCCTCTCCCGTTCTCCTTCTCCTCTCCTCTCCTCTCCCCGTCTCCTCTCCCTCCCTCTCCTCTCCCTCCGTTCTCCTTCTCCTCTCCCTCTCCTCTCCCTCCGTTCTCCCTCTCCTCTCCCTCTCCTCTCCCTCCGTTCTCCTTCTCCTCTCCCTCCGTTCTCCCTCTCCTCTCCCTCCGTTCTCCCTCTCCTCTCCTCTCCCTCCGTTCTCCCTCTTCTCTCCCTCTCCTCTCCCTCTCCTCTCCCTCTGTTCTCCTACTCTCTCCCTCTCTCCTTTCCCCTTTCAGCTTTTGATACACACCCCTCTCACCCACCCAAGCATTAATTTCCTGTCCACACTGGCATACAACACTTATACCACACCCCACCCTAGAGATGTTACCACGGTGTATACTGTACCTTATTACTGATGCACTAGGCTGACCAATGATCCATACTGGACACTGGACAGTGATGGACACAGTGCTCTACAGTGACCCTAACTGTCCCGTACTGTCTACTGCACCACAGCAGGGAAACATTTGATGTAAAAACACCAATAAGTAACATTTCCTTACCTATTTGATTATCATCCTTTAGCCCCCTATACATTATTTCTGAAGCGATAGAGTTAGGGTATGCTTTTTATAGTTGTAGTGGACATAACTGGTTACTCTGAAACTTTAATGTATTTTTTAGATCTCTTTACAGTGAACTCAGTAGGCTAAAGCTTACCATGTCAACCTGTAACTGGGAGACTACTAACAACCTCCAACATTTATGTTTGGTCACAGACAGCCACCTGGATACCACTCACGTAGGCCAGCCAATCGGCATCCCTACCCCACCGTGTTCTTCAGCCAGTCAAAGGGCTGGGATGCATTCCCCGCCCCCCAGACGTGCCATGGTGAGGGAGTTCAGTGGGACCTATGAGAGCCTTCCTGCGAGATCTGTACAGGTGAGTGGATCAGAGATGTCCAGTTACTCTCCTGGTCAGTGAGAGTGGGACAGTGACTCATAAATGTGTGTCAACATTTTTCCTAAAAGCCATACAGTTCCCTACAGTATGGTTGCCTGAGGACTCAACCTGAATATGTTCGCTACATACTTAAGTCTGAGACTGCCATCATTGAAGTCATTTGTGGTGACGTCAAAATGAGAGGTGTTGTACAAAACAAAGTCATCAGCGATTGGATCATCTGTAATCAATCAGAGTATCAAAGCCAATTACACATTTTTAAAAAGAAATTTTTTACCCCCTTTTTCTCCCCAATTCTATGATATCCAATTATGATTTTGTCTCATCGCTGCAACTCCCCAACGGGTTCGGGAGAGGTGAAGGTCGAGTCATTCGTCCTCCGAAACATGACCTGCCAAACCACGCTTCTTAACACCTGCCCGCTTAACCAGGAAGCCAGCTGCACCAATGTTCAACTGACGACCAAAGTCAGCCTGCAGGCGCCCAGCCCGCCACAGGGAGGTGCTAGAGCGCGATGAGCCAAGTAAAGCCCCCCCGGCCAAACCCTCCCCTAACGATGCTGGGCCAATTGTGCGCTGCCCTGTAAGACTCCCAGTCACAGCCGGTTGTGACACAGCCTGGGATCGAACTTCGGTCTGTAGTGACGCCTCAAGCACTGCGATGCAGTGCCTTAGACCGCTGCGCCACTCTGACACATTTTCGAAATGCAGCTTTACCCACGTGTGTTCTGGCTCTGGCCCAACCCATCAGTTTATGGGACCAATCAGAACGGTTAGAATGTGTTTGCATTCTAGAAATCGTCGGGAGGTACTCAGATCCAGACTCATTGCGGAGAAGAAACTAGCGTCCGTGGGCGTGGCATAGCGTTTGGCCGGAGCAAGGAGTTTTGGGTAGCCAGGCAAACACTATGGTCCCTGCATTTCTCTATTGTTAATGTTCTAACTTATCTGTCTCTCTCTCTCCCTCCCCCCCCCCCCCCCCCCCCCCCCCACCCCCCATCTCTCTCCCAGGTGTCAGAGTCCCGTGTGTTGGAGTGCCCTAGCATCCAGATCACCACTATCTCCCCAGAGGATGACACTGCCCCAGCAGGAAGTAACTTCTGGGACACAGGGGGTGGATGGGACAGGGAGCGCCTCTACCTTCCCCTACTGGACCCATTCTGCTACCGCGAAGGCAGCACCGGCGCTGGGTCCCTGAGCCCAAGCCCTGCCTCCAGCCCCTCCTCTCGGGGCTGGCTCAGTCCTGCGTCCAGCTGTGATTCGCTGCTGGTGGAGGAGGAGGAGCTCAATGAGGTCACCTCACATTTCTGCCTATCACCCTCCTCCCGGCCCACCTCGCCGGGGGGTAAGAAGCGCAGGAACTCCCCTCTGGCCTCCCCCTGCACGTCCCGCAGGAGCAGCTACTCTGAGGACCACTCCTGTACCCTGGAGGGTGACGACTCCACCTCTCAGTCACAGGCTCCCAACAGCAGCTTTGAGCTGAGCATTCCACAGAAAACTAGGAAGACGTCACTGGAGCAAGTAAGGTGGCTGACTGGTGGTTCTTAGAACTTAGGTTCCATAGAGGTTCGTCTTGATGCTCAACCTGAAATCCCTGGTTTGTGTCCTCCAGGTCTCCCCCAGGGATGTGGAGCAGGAGCAGGCTCTAGCCCATAGCTCCCACTGCCCACTGCCAGAGCCGCTACAGCAGAGGAGAGAGGCTGCATCCATGGGCATGGACTACCTGTCTGTGCCCCCTGCTCTGGGCTGGGGGAGGACTAGAGCCAGCACCCACAGCCCTCTGTTCAGGTTACACACTATGTTTATACAGTATCCCTCAATAGTGTGTTGACTTACCATTATTATTGTTTGGATGGCCAGGACAGCCCCCTCAGCCCCGTCCACACATCTGACAGGTCCATTGTTCTTACAGATCCAATGCTCTGCCGCCACTTGATTGGCCACTGCCAACTCAGTTTGACCAATATGAGTTGCGTATTGAGGTGCAGCCCCGCCCACACCACCGAGCCCACTACGAGACAGAAGGAAGCAGAGGAGCCGTCAAGGCATCACCAAGGGGACATCCGGTTGTTAAGGTATATTCAATTGATTAAATTAAAGAAAGTTTGATTTGTTTATGGCTTCAATCCCAGACTAACATATACAGTATATATCTAAACAATATCTCTATTTTCGGTCTCTCCCAGCTGACTGGGTACACAGAGAGACAGCCACTCTCTTTGCAGGTGTTTGTGGGAACAGCTGATGACAGGTCCATCCGGCCTCATCCTTTCTATCAGATACACAGGTAGGTCACCGTGCAACAATACACCAATCAATCTATGATAGTATGTGCTTTGCTCAGTGTTTTGATGTGGTTTTGTTTTTATTGTTAAGATGCTTATTTTGATACTCAGGGTGACAGGTAAGATGGTGGGTACTGCCAGTCAAGAGAGTGTACAGGCTGGCACCAAAATACTGGACATCCCCCTCAACCCAGAGGCCAACATGACTGCCCTGTGAGTAACTAACAGAGAGATAAAGATAATAGATACAAAAGGCTTTGTATGGGGTAACCGAGTAGGCAGAGAGAATAGCTTTCCTGTATGTGTGTATGTACTATGATGCACTTTTACATGGTATTTTGCACTGTGTGAGTGGCTGCGTGTGTGCTGAATATACAGTGGGGGAAAAAAGTATTTAGTCAGCCACCAATTGTGCAAGTTCTCCCACTTAAAAAGATGAGAGAGGCCTGTAATTTTCATCATAGGTACACGTCAACTATGACAGACAAATTGAGATTTTTTTTCTCCAGAAAATCACATTGTAGGATTTTTAATGAATTTATTTGCAATTTATGGTGGAAAATAAGTATTTGGTCACCTACAAACAAGCAAGATTTCTGGCTCTCACAGACCTGTAACTTCTTCTTTAAGAGGCTCCTCTGTCCTCCACTCGTTACCTGTATTAATGGCACCTGTTTGAACTTGTTATCAGTATAAAAGACACCTGTCCACAACCTCAAACAGTCACACTCCAAACTCCACTATGGCCAAGACCAAAGAGCTGTCAAAGGACACCAGAAACAAAATTGTAGACCTGCACCAGGCTGGGAAGACTGAATCTGCAATAGGTAAGCAGCTTGGTTTGAAGAAATCAACTGTGGGAGCAATTATTAGGAAATGGAAGACATACAAGACCACTGATAATCTCCCTCGATCTGGGGCTGCACGCAAGATCTCACCCCGTGGGGTCAAAATGATCACAAGAACGGTGAGCAAAAACCCCAGAACCACACGGGGGGACCTAGTGAATGACCTGCAGAGAGCTGGGACCAAAGTAACAAAGCCTACCATCAGTAACACACTACGCCGCCAGGGACTCAAATCCTGCAGTGACAGACGTGTCCCCCTTCTTAAGCCAGTACATGTCCAGGCCCGTCTGAAGTTTGCTAGAGTGCATTTGGATGATCCAGAAGAGGATTGGGAGAATGTCATATGGTCAGATGAAACCAAAATAGAACTTTTTGGTAAACTCAACTCGTCGTGTTTGGAGGACAAAGAATGCTGAGTTGCATCCAAAGAACACCATACCTACTGTGAAGCATGGGGGTGGAAACATCATGCTTTGGGGCTGTTTTTCTGCAAAGGGACCAGGACGACTGATCCGTGTAAAGGAAAGAATGAATGGGGCCATGTATCGTGAGATTTTGAGTGAAAACCTCCTTCCATCAGCAAGGGCATTGAAGATGAAACGTGGCTGAGTCTTTCAGCATGACAATGATCCCAAACACACCGCCCGGGCAACGAAGGAGTGGCTTCATAAGAAGCATTTCAAGGTCCTGGAGTGGCCTAGCCAGTCTCCAGATCTCAACCCCATAGAAAATCTTTGGAGGGAGTTGAAAGTCCGTGTTGCCCAGCGACAGCCCCAAAACATCACTGCTTTAGAGGAGATCTGCATGGAGGAATGGGCCAAAATACCAGCAACAGTGTGTGAAAACCTTGTGAAGACTTACAGAAAACGTTTGACCTGTGTCATTGCCAACAAAGGGTATATAACAAAGTATTGAGAAACTTTTGTTATTGACCAAATACTTGTTTTCCACCATAATTTGCAAATAAATTCATTAAAAATCCTACAATGTGACTTTCTGGGAAAAAAAATCTCATTTTGTCTGTCATAGTTGACGTGTACCTATGATGAAAATTACAGGCCTCTCTCATCTTTTTAAGTGGGAGAACTTGCACAATTGGTGGCTGACTAAATACTTTTTTCCCCCACTGTAACAGCCTATCTCTGTTTCAGCATTGACTGCGCTGGCATTCTGAAGCTGAGGAACTCGGACATCGAGCTGAGGAAAGGAGAGACGGACGTAGGGAGGAAAAACACTCGTGTGCGCCTAATGTTCCGTACCCACCTCCCCCTTGGCCCTCCCGTGGCCCCGCCTGGACGGATGCTGGCCCTGCAGGTCACCTCTGTGCCTATAGAGTGCTGTGAGTATCCAGCCAACAATCACGGTCATCTCTCTGGTGGCAGGTAGCCTAGTGCTTAAAGCGTTGGGCCAGTAACTGAAGCGTTGCTGGTTTGAATACCTGAGTCGACTATGTTCCTTTGAGCAAGGCACTTAATCCTTTTTTGCTCCAGGGGTGCTGTACTACTATGGCTGACCCTGTAAAACAACACATTGTGACAATACAAAACATGTTGTTTTTGTTCTCCCTGTCCAGTCTTACTTTGAGCTTGAATATCCTAGTGAATCATCTGTATTCTGCCCTCTCTCTCTCTCTCTCTCTCTCTCTCTCTCTCATTCTTTCCTCAGCCCAGCGCTCTGCTCAAGAGCTGCCAGTGGTGGAGTCGCTCAGTCTCACATCGTGCTCTGTGGAAGGAGGGGAGGAGCTACTGTTGGGCGGATCTAACTTCCTGCCCATATCCAGAGTGCTTTTTATGGAAAGAGGGGCAGGTAAGGGGTTAGGGATAGGGGAAGTTAGAAGTTAGGGGTTAGGGAAAATTGGATTTTGAATGGAAATGAATCTTAGAACATAGAACATAACGTGTGTGTGTGTTCTTATTTTCTTCAATGTGCACCATCCATGAAATTAGGTATAATTAATATCCTTATTTACCAGATGGAAAGCTACAGTGGGAAGAGGAGGCACATGTTGACCGTGACAATAGTAGTGAGGTAAATAGTATGTTTCTGGGTGTATTTGTGTTCGAGTGCACAAACATTTGTGTTCATGCACATGTATTAAAACTGTAATGTACATTGTTAATATTGTCCTCCCCCAGTGCTTGTTGTGTGTGCAAGTTCCAGCCTATGGTGACCTGTCTGTGAACCGCCTAGTATCTGTGTGCCTATACGTCTCCAACGGGAAGAGGAAAAGGAGCAGCACTCACTGTTTCAAGTACCTGCCCGGTGAGTCTCCCCTCACTTCATCCATCAATCTCTCCGCTTAGACTGTAACTATCTTTGTTGTTTTTGGTTCATTTTGAACAATTTATCCTGATGGTATTTATCTACGAGGTCAGGGGCAGGACTAATTGCCTTCCTTTGAAAGCGTATTACCACTTATTTTCTCTCTCTATCTCTCTGTCATGTTTAAAGAGGAGGACCCTCTGCTGTCGCGTCCCTCTGTCGTGCCCCTGGAGGAGGTGACACTCTGCTCCATGGGGGGGCCCAGCAGGGTGGACAGGGGTCTGCACCTGAGGAATGATCCCACACCCGAGGAGAGAGGGCTGGCTTTGCACCTGCCCCCCTACCCTTCAGCCTACTCTCCCCCCTACCCAGGCCATGGCTACCAGGAGGAGTACTGCCACAAGCCTGAAGCTGTTGGTGACAGCAGAGGTTCTCTATCGGAAAGACGCCCCAGCTTTGAGAAGTTGGAGCTGGGCTTCACCGAGCTACTGCCTCCCCTGTACCCCAGAGTCTCCCAGCCTCCCTCTCCATGGCTGGAATCCCCATACCTGTCCTCCTCCCCATCTCCCTCCCACTCCTCCTCTCTGAGTCCCTTCCCCACAGGCAGCCCCATCTCCTCCTCCCCTCTTCCCCCCATGACTACCTCACCCTACCCCCACTACCCCTACCCTCAGGAGATCTGCCCCTCGCCTCCCTCCAACCCCAGCCCTTATCAGGACTTCTACCCATCACCGTACTCCCACTATGAGGTATGGGATCACCAGGGCAGGGGACCTGGGGAAAGGGAAGCTCAGGCTGCGTCTAAAATGCAGGAGAACCCCCTGGAATTTGCCAGCTCATCATCCGTTCACCACATTACATTAGAGGAAGGTGAGAAGTTTGCATGTACAGTACAAAGTTCTAATTGGTATTGATCTCCATTGTTACAAGAATAACAATATATATAACATAAAATTTTTGTTGATAGACAGTACCAGTCAAAAGTTTGAACACACCTACTCATTCAAGGGTTTTTCTTTATTTTTACTATTTTCTACCCCCAAGCCATAAGACTCCTGAACAGCTAATCATGGCTACCCGGACTATTTGCACTGCCCCCCCCCCACCCCATCTTTTTACGCTGCTGCTACTCTGTTAATTATTTATGCATAATCACTTTAACTCTACCCACATGTACATATTACTTCAACTACCTCAACTAGCCGGTGCCCCCGCACATTGACTCTGCACCGGTACCCCCCTGTATATATAAAACCTCCCTACTGTTATTTTATTTTACTTCTGCTCTTTTTTTCTCAACACTTTTTTGTTGTTTTATTTTACTTTTTTATTAAAAAATAAATGCACTGTTGGTTAAGGGCTGTAAGTAAGCATTTCACTGTAATGTCTGCACCTGTTGTATTCGGCGCATGTGGCCAACAAAATTTGATTTGATTCTACATTGTAGAATAATAGTGAAGACATCAAAACTATGAAATAACATATATGGAATCATGTAGTAACCAAAAAAGTGTTTAAACAAATTAAAATATATTTTAGATTCTTCAAAGTAGCCACCCTTTGCCTTGATGACAGCTTTTCACACTATTGGCATTCTCTCAACCAGCTTCATGAGGTACTCATCTGGAATGCTTTTCTAACAGTCTTGAAGGAGTTCCCACATATGCTGAGCACTTGTTGGCTGCTTTTCCTTCACTCTGCGGTCCAACTCATCCCAAACCATCTCAATTGGGTTGAGGTCGAGTGATTGTGGAGGCCAGGTCATTTGATGCAGCACTCCATCACTCTCCTTATTGGTCAAATAGCCCTTATACAGCCTGGAGGTGTGTTTTGAGTCATTGTCCTGTTGAAAAACAAATGATAGTCCTACTAAGCGCTAACCATGTTGGTTAAGTTTGCCTTGAATTCTAAATAAATCACAGACAGTGTCACCAGCAAAGCACCCCCACACCATCACACCTCCTTCTCCATGCTTCACATGCGGAGATCATCCGTTCCCCTACTCTGCGTCTCACAAAGACACGGCGGTTGGAACCCAAAATCTCAAATTTGGACTCCAGACCAAAGGACAAATTTCCACCAGTCTAATGTCCATTGCACGTGTTTCTTGGCTAAAGCAAGTATCTTCTTCTTACTGGTGTCCTTTAGACTGTCGTTTTATCTTTTTTGGTTACTACATGATTCGATATGTTATTTCATAGTTTTGATGTCTTCGCTATTATTCTACAACGTAAAACATAGTAAAAATTAAGAAAAACCCTGGAATGAGTAGGTGTGTCCAAGCTTTTGACTGGTACTGTAGATTGATTGATATACCGAATAAATTAATATATAAATGTCTGACTGGCTGCTGTGTCTTTTTGCCTACAGTGAATGAATTTATAGGAGAAGACATCAGATCGTTCCAGTCGGGCTCACAGATGGACAGCCAACCAGGATGACAAGCTCAGTACTGTTCTGTCTTGTTCAGTTGTTATAGTATGAAGCACATTATTGATATCATATCACACCTTTTCCTATACACTTGGTTTATGATGTATTGCTTAAATATGACAATACTGAATGGGGATTAAATGGCAAGGGCAAAGTTGTAAGTATGATTACAGATAACTGTTACAGTTTATATAATGTTTTTAACCAGTTTTCAATATAAATTATACAAGTAAATGTGTGTTATTGGTCTGTTTGTGTATATAGTTTTGTGTGTGCTTGAACAGACGATCTCTCTCCTCCTGAGAGTCTAACGTCTATTATCACTGAAACAAAATAAGTTTCATTCAGCCCATGTATGCAAAAAGCCTAAAGCCAGGCAAGAGTGAATACAGTCCGGACTCTATGGAGGAGGGTCATTGTATCATAGACACTGTAGAAGGACAGATCTCCTGCCCTGTGATCCAGGTACACTCCTATCCTACAGGACTCCGGGGCAGATAGTTTAGTCTCTATGTTGTATGTAGGAAACTACAGGCTTTGACGCAGAGTAAACTACAGGACTTCTCATTGAGGCCAAACTGGGCTTCTGGACCAAAGCCCGTCCTGCTGATGTCCTTGTAAGAGACAGCTATGTAGGCCCTCTTCCCTCTCCACTCTACCTCCCAGTAACAGCAGACCCTCTCTATACAGCACCTGGATACTGTGGAACCTCTCTGGGTGGTTGAGGCATGGTTTGGGCCCCTTCATTGTCACTCGCTGGTCTCCTTCAGTCAGGCGGAGGTTTTAGAATGCTGTGTTTGGATCCAATGTGAGCTGACAGAAATCTATGGAGAGAAGAGGGAGGAAACAGAACAGAGATACTTAAGACATTGATTAGTGTAGAATAGATCTTACCTTGTGTGTAATAACATACATTTATACTTTCATTTTAGCTGGTTTCTTTAGCAACAGTGCCTCCTGGTGACAGATGAAAGACATGGACGCACAATTGAATGAAATAGATTTTAGATACTTTTTGTAAGTATTGCTCTGAGAGGACAGATACTCACATTGTAAGGAATTGCTCTCTTGTCTGGGGCTCTGGGGTGTACACAATCGCCATTGTATTGACTGCAGATGGGAAAGTTTTCAATTAATAACAACAAAGTGCTCAATCTGATTGGGTGGGCCTGGCTCCTCAGTGGGTGGGCCTGTGTCCAGCCAGGCCCACCCATGCCTACGCCCCTGATCAAAGGGCTATCAACAATTATGCACCAATTCATTTTAGAAAAACGATTGAAGAGCAATACACCTTTTTTTCAGTGTGTACCACTGCCAAGTGGCAGGGAAGGAAGTTCTATTTAAGTAGTGGTGTGGTATATCAGACATATCAGTGTCACACCTGCTCTTAAAATCTTTCCAGATGTCTTCCTGTCTCTCTGTTAGTTCAGACCCATAGGTCTGACCCACAGGGATACTGGATTGGTCTGGTACCAGGTTTCTCATGGTCTGAGAGTCTTTAGGTGCCTTTTGGCAAACTCCAAGCGGGCGGTCATGTGCCTTTTACTGAGGAGTGGCTTCCGTCTGGACAATCTACCATAAAGGCCTGATTGGTGGAGTGCTGCAGAGATGGTTGACCTTCTGGAAGGTTCTCCCATCTCCACAGAGGAATTCTGGAGCTCTGTCAGAGTGACCATCGGGTTCTTTGTCACCTCCCTGATCAAGGCCCATCTCCCCCGATTGCTCAGTTTGGCCTGGCGGCCAGCTCTAGGAAGAGTCTTGGGGGTTATAAACTTCTTCCATTTAAGAATGATGGAGGCCACTGTGTTCTTGGGGAGCTTCAATGCTGCAGAAATGTTTTGGTACCCTTCTCCAGATCTGTGCCTCGACACAATCCTGTCTCGGAGCTCTACGGACAATTCCTTCGACCTCATGGCTTGGTTTTTGCTCTGACATGCACTGTCAACTGTGGGACCTTTATATAGACAGGTGTGTGCCTTTCCAAATCATGTCCAATCAATTGAATTTACCACAGGTGGTCTCTGATCATGTTGTAGAAACATCTCAAGGATGATCAATGGAAACAGGATGCACCTGAGCTAAATTTCGAGTCTAATAGCAAAGGGTCTGAATACTTATGTAAATAAGGTATTTCTGTTTTTTATTTTGAATACATTTGCAACATTTCTAAAAAACAGTTTTTGCTTTGTCATTATGGGGTATTGTGTGTAGATTGATGAGGAAAATGTTTTATTTAATCCATTTTAGAATAAGGCTGTAACGTAAACAAAATGTGGAAAAAGCCAAGGGGTCTGAATACTTTCCGAATGCACTGTATGTGCGTACAGCATGCACCGGACACAGGCCATGCAACCTCCATTGTTCACTGGAAGCAAATGGAGGAGGTGAGAAAGTGAACAGCTTGAAAGCCAGGGACCTGTAAGACATAGGCATAACCTTGGGAACAAAAGCTGCATTAGGATGTAACATCACTTTGGAGTCCCCAGGCGCAAACTCCAAACAGGAAGGATGTACTGAAAGCACGTGGAGATCCCCAACGCACCTGGCCGACACCAAGGCCATGAGCAGGGCAGTCTTGTAGGAAAGGACCTTCAGGTCCACAAACTCCAATGGTTCAAACGGAGCCTCACACAGAGTGTCAATGGGACCAAAGCCAGATCCCAGGTCGGTGCCATAGGCTTAGACAGCAGAGGATGAGACCCCGGGGTAGGGCTGTCAATCCTGAACTTGCAAACCTTGAGGTGCTTGTTTAAAACACGCAAGTCCAGGATGGGACGCAACGTTCCATCGCTCTTGGGAACTATGAAGTACCGGCTGCACCAACCGCTCTATACTTCTGACACGGGAACCACCTGAATAGCCTGCTTTTGAAGGAGACAGGCTCCAGGACCTTGGGGACCATTGGCGTAATTGCGCCACGAATGGAGGAGAATGCACAGCGAACTGCAGACGGTACCTCCTAGTCACCCTCCTCATCACCCATGGTAAAACTGCATATGCCTGCCACTGGACGGAACATGCTGCCAGTCTCCCATACATTATGTCCTTAAGGGGCAGTGCGCCACCCTGAGGACTGGGATAATTCGTTTTTTTTGGTCATACTTGTTTTCGTATCCACCACCCTTGACAACCGTGTGTCTGAATGTGGGGAAGAACCTGTGTTTATTATGTCCACACCTGGACGATACCGCACTCTCGACAGCCCTGAACACTGAGGAACCTTGGGTAGAAACAATGTGCTTACGTGGTACAGCTGTTCTGATACCCGACCCACACCAGATTCGGGGTCTTCGGAAACCAGTAACTTGCCCCCATTGACCGAGCCACTTGGGAGCACTGTTGCCACAGTAAATGCTTGGGGAGGAGGGCCCCGAGAACACAATCCCTCCCCCGGCCTCCAGCTAGGGTCATGAGATCTGCTATTTTCCCCGTGCCGTGGAAGAACCAGCTTTTACCCCGCTCTCCTTCGACCCAGCACGGTATCTGTACCAAGACATCCGCCGCTGCCCAGAAGCACCAAGACGGTCAAAAACCAACCTCGAAGCCACGCCCTGGCGTCCTGTTTTTGTTCCTCCTCGAAATGGGCCTGTAAGGACTCCATAGCTGAGCCAAACAACCTTGTTGACTAAACTGACTCATCCAAATACATCTGCCTGTCCCTCTCAGGAACCACACCCTCAGCCTGGTACACTTTGTCCAGCTGATCTGCAGAGAACCGGCACTGTTTATTTGGAAGCACTGTGCTAGGAATAGCCCCCTTGTTAGCCTCTGGAGGTAAGTAACTCGCCAGCTTTTAATCCATCGGCGATGTGCAAATGAGCCTTGCCTCCTCCATACCCTCTACATTCATGAAATCCCCATAACCTGGTAGCACCAGCCTGGTTGAATGAGGGGAATCCGAGGTCGCCTTTAGCCCATGACAGAAATCTTTAAACAGGGGTAAGCGACACTTCACCGCTGCAGAGACAGGAGGTAAATACCTTCCCCCAACCTGGAGGAACTCCGCTGCGGGGGAGAAGACGGCTAATCCACCCCCAGGTGATTTCCGCCCTTCAACACAGCTCCATCAAAGGCACATTAACCACCAATGGTCACTCTCCCCCCAGAATCCAAAGCCGGGTCTTAGGCTGCCCTGGACTGATGTCATCCGATTCACACTCTGAAAATCCTCCAGACCAGGGCCAGAGAAACTGGAAGGAGTCTCACTTGGCTGGGATGACACCCCTATCAACTCCGACCACCGCTGCTGCTCTCTCTTGACCTCAGACAACCCCATACTTGAGGTCGCTTCACCGGAAGACCCTTCGCCAGCAGCCCCAATCTTTTCCACAAAGTCAGCCCGACACCCAGCTGGAGACAATCGTCACACAAACTGGTCTGTGCCAAAGCCTCCTGGGCGTGTTTCTACCCCAGGCAAACAGGACAGCACTCATGAGTATCTTGTGAAACCCCATGCCCTAGGGCCCTCAAACTCAATTCTGGACCTCGAAGCCAGTTCCACTGCATTTTTTCAATGTTCCCCTCTAATCAGGGACTGATATAGACATGGGACACCAGGTGTGTGCAATTAATGATCAGGTAGAACAAAAAATCTGCAGGCTCCGGGCCTCGTAGGGTAAGAGTTGAGTATCCTTGTCCTAGGGCATAGTCGGAGGTTCAAACTCAGCTGCTTAGACTTTTTGAACTTACTCTTAACACTGGCCATCTTACTCAAGCAAGGAAGCATTGGTTACACAAGCAGAGCAGAAAATAGTTAGATTTTAGCAAACACAAAAACCGATACCAAGACCCAAATCTTGCAACATCTAGGGGGACAAGTACCCTCTCCCCACTAACAGACACCTAAGTCGGAGGACGAATCTTGAAAAGTTTGTAAATTACGTGACACGTTCTTCCTTTAGGCGAGTTGAAGAGAGAAGAGTTTAGGAAATGGATGCGAGCCCCGGTATTACAGTGAGGGAAAAAAGTATTTGATCCCCTGCTGATTTTGTACGTTTGCCCACTGACAAAGAAATGATCAGTCTATAATTTTAATGGTAGGTTTATTTGAACAGTGAGAGACAGAATAACAACAAAAAAATCCAGATAAACGCATGTCAAATCTCTCAATCAGAAAGATTTCTGGCTCCCAGGTGTCTTTTATACAGGTAACAAACTGAGATTAGGAGCACACTCTTAAAGGGAGTGCTCCTAATCTCAGCTTGTTACCTGTATAAAAGACACCTGTCCACAGAAGCAATCAATCAATCAGATTCCAAGCTCTCCACCATGGCCAAGAC